GATGTTGGGAAAACATTGTTTTGGTTTTACTGGATGCCAATTTGATACAACTCAAATGAACATTTGTTACAATTTGATTGCAACCACTGCTAGTTTTGTCTCCATTTTTGTTTTCAATGAGAAAATATGATCAGCGATAAATTTATACATTTTATGCTGTTTCAAAAATGCAGGGCAGTTTGTCTCAAATTTGATACAGTGTACACTGACTAAAACACATGACAGATCTCTGTGTGCCTCACACTCTATGTTGTTATTTGAATAGACCTAATAAAATTCCTTGATTCTGATCATCAATGTTTATCCTATTCATGTACTATGAGAAGTTTCCTAGTAATTGTGTAACAGGTCTTTCATGAGATGAGATTGATTTGTTCCATGAGTTCATAGTCTCAGCATCAGAAGTTTAACTTCAATTTGGTGTTAATAGGTAACATGAAGAGACACCGATGTATTTTGATCTGCTGCCAACAACTATATTTGAAGCATTAAAAAGGAAAACTGTTTCCGTCAGATCAACAGGAGCTGAAAAACGACATCTTGCGATGATTCTGACTGTGACAGGTTGTGACTGAGTTCTTCCAAGCTGAACATCAATGCACCACCTGGTTTGGTTGTCAAGGTCCAGAAAATGAGATGGTGATGATACAGACATGATGAAGAATTGGCTGTGAAGAGTCTGGTTTCCCTACATGAAGTCACATGACTGACTTCTGGCGGTTGATTCATTCCACAGTCATGGACACGAAAATGTAATTGCTCACTTCAAGCCAAAACATCATGTCGAGTCGTTATTCCAAGTGGATGTCATCCAAACTTTGATATCAGCAATAACAAACCATTCAAGCAATATATGCAATATATGAGTTGGTTGGATTGTATTAAAAAAACAAACACACCAGTAGGACAGCAACCAAAAACTTAACAACATTTTATTGACTGGATAGTTGGTGCTTTGTGGAAACAGAAGGACAACCCAGAGATAGTGAAGAAATCCTTAAAAGTAACCAGAATAACTAGATGGCAGCAAAGACAACATTACACACCCACCCCGCCAAACCCTCCCAACCCCGGTAACCAATGAACCAATCATTCATACCAATGTGCTGCTATTTTTGTTATTGACACAACATTTCTGAATAAACACTAGTACCCCGGTAAGCCATTCAGTTGCAACTTTGCCAGGCACTAAATGGTTTAGTGGACATGTTGCAAACAAAACAGGTAGTAGGATATTATTTTTAGTGAGCATTTATTAGCAAACAAATAAGAAGAAGTATTACAATAAAGCTAAGCTTGTGACACTCACCTTCTTTTTGTTGATCTGATCCTTTTGTCAACCGCAAATGATATGGCACATTGGGAAAACTTGATGGTAACATCATTCTTATTGCAGGGCTGTAATCAAAGTAAAATAAAAAATGTAGGTATTTTACAGCAGTCATTATGCAAATAAACTATTCAGAAAAAGTTCCTTTCGCATTGCATGGCGGGTGAACATACAGAACATGGTTCACACCTTTTCTATTCTGTTATTTGCCCGATGTTGCAATACTGAAGTAATCCATATTTCTTTTGAGTAGTAGTTTTTTTAAACGCCAAAATGTGATCGTCAAGTCGTGAAACCTGGTCATTGAACAAAGTTTTACTTTTCCGTATAATAGTGTCCAATCAGACTATCGTGAATAGGGTGTGAACGAGCAAACTATTCTTTGACACGACTTGTTGGTGAGCGTGAAAGGTTTAAATACTTTCTCTACCCTCAGTTTACCTTTCAAAAACAGATCATATTTTAACATCGTGGTAACTCACTTCCGCATTGCATTGAAAAAATTACTTCGTCAATAATCGGAAAACTTCGTCTGTACGGCATAGCATTTTGATTGGTTAATGAAAGATGTGACCTGTTAGGTCAAAGGAAGTTGTTCAGGTCAAATCATGACGAAATACATCATGGCGAAAATTGCTTTGTATCATGAGTTTGCATACGATTGAAAACATTCTACAATGAAGATAATGATAAAGATCTTGCCTTCAACTGTTTTACAGACGGTATGTAAACCGTATTGTAATAAAATGTGTGTATTTTGATGAACATGTTTGTTTCTTCATTGCAAAAAGTGTTGTGGAAATCAATGACGATTCGTTTTGCATTTTTTTTCCCTCAAAAAGACGCAATATTTCTCAGTGAGCGAAAAATGTAATTTGGATAATTTTTCGTGGTTGGGAAGATGGTTACAATTTTAAACCTACCAAAAAATTATCTTTTCTGAGATGGTCCTCGAGTATAAGCCCACACCCTAATTTTTTACATGTTCCAGGCCCCTGGGCTTTTACTCTGAGAAGTACAGTATACAATCGCACTATACTACTGAATAAATGATATCATTTGACGTGAAATGTGCAGTTTTTGGATTGCCAAAACACAGGGAAGACATACATACCTGATAATGTGTGCCAAGGCAAGGACTCCAAGAAAGAAAAAATAAATGGTCAGCAATAAATTAATATATTCTTTAGAGAATATCTGTAATAAATAGAACAAAGAAAGTAAATTTACCAAACTGCTTTTTCCTGTATTGATCACTGACATCAGAGACTAATGTTACGAGTATATTTAGCACTGAAACTGCAAATACCCTTGGATCATTATTTAACCAAATTAGAAGCCCCTTCCCCCAAAGAAAAACATGGCCCTAGATATCAAGAATAACTAAATAAATATGTAGAAATTAAAACTACCACCTACTTTGAATGAAATATTGGTTAGTTGTTTGCTTGTCAAGTATTGAGGCATATTACTGATATTTTTTGTTCATAAAATAATTTTGATGTTCAGAGGTTAGTAATTATTGGTTGATATCAGAACTCAATATCTCAAAGTGACTTTCAAGCTAGACACAAAGTGTTCCACAATATAAAAAGCAGTTTTGATAGTGAGCGTCGTTCACTTCAAGACAAATGTCATCCATGTCAACTAGTTCCATAATGCAATGTGTGAATAACATTGAAGAAGTGATTTGATTTCTTCATACAAAAGTGATATAATAATATTAAATACCTGAAATACAATGTAAATACCAAGGAGTGTACCACTAGCGATTAATGGAAACATAGCAGCATCTTTCTGGGACATCACCTCAGGAGCTTCACCAGATTCCTACATCAGAAAACAAACAAATACATGTGATGAAAGGAGCAAACAATACTACAGAAAACTGAGAGTCAATTCATGCATGTAATCACATCGCCTGATTCTCCTCTCATTTTGCGACACCCCTTCATAGCCCTATTCTCCTCGCAGCTTAGCCCTACCCTCCTTGCATAGCTCAACCTTCTCTTGGGTTCACGTTCAGTTAAATCCCCATCCTATGATATAGCATGGATATATCGAGCGCTGTGTATAACAATATGAAAGGCACTGTAAATAGTTACCTATTCAGTTTACCTTTCCAAAATTACCATTTAAAGAAAAAACATATCATATTCAATTTTGGCATTGACTTCAATTTATTGTACAATTGCATACATGTATTTGTTACTACAGGGTTCATGCAATAATTTCATATATGCAAATTCATTTCAAAATTCCTCATTTACAAATGTCATAATTATTACTATTTAAGCCTTGGACTTTTGATTTATATTATAAGATTGGCCAACTAAAGAATAAAATAAACTTATTGGCAGTTAGTTTTCCTGGGGCAGACATAAAAGCTGATAATAATTATTTAATACACAACAAATTCCAGGAATGAATGAGAACTTTGAAATGCTATTATAAAGTAAATGTTTGCCATATACAATCACCTGATTCATTACAGCTATATACACGTAATCTGTATTAGAAGCCGTGATTCTATTAACATGATACAATGCAACAGAAAGGATGTGGCTTCTATTAGAGCATCTACATGTATGAGAAATGATGAATTTTTACTTCCCAATTTTTTCAAAAAGAGTGGGTGCGGTTACTAATACATCAGTTTTTTTACTAATAATGATTGAGCGCAGAGAAAGACAAGTGTGTCAATTTGTTTCCTAAATCAAAGGATACATGCATCATTTTAATTTGTCACAAAAATAGACCTATTATATTTATTTGAACGAAGCAATATAAAATTTATGTTGACGCACAACATTGTAAATTGGTTATTAAAAAACTAAAATGCATGATGTCATTGATACCAAAAGCAAAGTCTATCAAACTGAATCAAATGTACACAATACATGTAGTAGAAGATATTTGATCTGCAGTTTCTATCAAAAATATGATGCGAGTTGAAAGTATAGCTGTTTTTAACCTTGATTCAAAGTAAATCGCAAAAATAAATCACAAATTGGTGTTGAAAACACTTTGTAAAGAACACTGACTAGCATTCTTCTCATTATATTTTTGATTTCTATGATAACATAGCTTAGATATGACTGCATCAAATGACTGAACACAACATTTCTGATAACATAAACTAGTGTTGCCATGGTTAGACTGACATGCTATGACAATATCTGATTTTATTCAATTATTTCAGAACAATGTTTTACTAGGCCCCAAAAAATTAATTGTGTACTTTCAGCAACAATTTGAGTATATGCAGAGTAATCTTAGGTTATTGCTTGAATAATTCATGTAAGTCATTCAATACATAGAACTTAGAAGGAAGTAAACAGAAATAAAAAATAAACAAAGAAATGGGTAAATGACCACAATTATTTGCACAGAAATAAATAATTTTGGACTTCCATGCATGAATTTGGATAGGTAGATTTACTGGAAATACAGAATTATTTTTTTAGACTTAGTGTTGAAATTTGAATGTTTTCATATTTACTGTTCCTACCATATAGTTTTGTCCAACAGCAAGATTGCCAGCTAATTCTCAGTCTAATCTTGTTGTTCTTGGAATGAGTTGGGTCAAAGCAACAACAGAAAATACCAAATATCAAATAAAACATCAATAGAAAATATGTATACCTTATACATATATACGGATTCTGACGTAAATTCTCCCATCCGAAAAATTTCACGGCTGGTTCAAAATAAAAAAAAAATGATCATCAAATATTCAACGAATGAACCTTAACCCTTAACATGCTTCAATTTATCTGACCATAACGTTCCCCCACTGCATTCTTTTCAAAAAAAATAGACAGACAGTCACTGTGAATCATAATCGTAACTTTTTATTTGCATGCAAAA